AGAGCGCTCCACTGTGTCAGAGTGTTACAGTGTGCAAGAGCACTCCAGTGTGTCAGAGTGTTACAGTGTGTTAGAGCGCTCCAGTGTGTCAGAGTGTTACAGTGTGTTAGAGCGCTCCAGTGTGTCAGAGTGTTACAGTGTGTAAGAGCGCTCCAGTGTGTCAGAGTGTTACAGTGTGCTAGAGCGCTCCAGTGTGTCAGAGTGTTACAGTGTGTTAGAGCGCTCCACTGTGTCAGAGTGTTACAGTGTGTAAGAGCGCTCCAGTGTGTCAGAGTGTTACAGTGGTTCAGAGTGTGTAACACAGCGCTGGGAATGACAGAGGCAGGCAGGACACCCGCACTCCATCAGCCCGATTCCAGGGAGGAAAGAGTGACGTCACTCACCGTGGCGTCCTGGCCAGCGTAGTGCGCCAGAAGTCTCGGTCCACCGGGGTGACGCAGCCTGAAGTTGGTGACGTCATACACCTTCCTGTCAATCACCAGCCAGCGCTCCTCGATCCCGCGACCCCCAGCGCGCTCCTGCACCTCGAGCCAAGTCAGCTGCCGCAGCACGGGGTTGCTCTCTGCGCCTGCGCCCATCCTGCCGGCCGAAAGCACCGAACCGGGACCAGAAGCGCCCGCGGACCCAACACCGGGAGCACGCAGTTCAGGCCGAGCCGAGATCACGCCACTAACACGTCCTCAGCCACGCGCAGAACATCCTCCTGGACCCTTTTATCCGCGAGATGCTGCTGCTGCCCCGCCTCCCCCAGGCGCTCGCTTCAGCACGGGACACTCCCACCCCCACTCGCGCAGCCCGCAGCCGATTGGGCCGCCTCGCGCAGGTGATCCGGCTGCGCCGCTGATTGGGGGAACCGGGACCGCTGAGCTCCGGCCGCCTGACGCCACCAGCAGAGCCGCCCCACCCGGGCTCACAGAGCGCCCTGGTGCTGTCAGAGCACCCGTCTGTGTCTGTGTGTGTGTGAGTGTCTGTGAGTCTGTCTCTTTGTGTGTGTCTGTGTGTGGGTGTGTGTGAGTCTGTGAGTCTGTGTGTGAGAGAGAGAGAGTCTGTGTGAATTGAGTCTGTGTGAATCTGTGTGTGTCTGTGAGTCTGTGTCTCTGTGTATAAGTGTGTCTGTGAGTCTATGTGTGGGTGTGTGTGTCTGTGTGAATCTCAATAATAGTAATACAGTGATCTCCTGTCCCAGCCTGAGGAACAGACAGTGAGCCTGTCTCTCAATAATAATAATACAGTGTGTGA